GTATGTTGAATTTGCAGGAGCAGGCCATCCCCATGTGCTGAAAGACGAGCTGGCAGGGAAGAAGAATGGCCTGGCTGAACAGACACTTTTGTCTGGAGCTCAGGAAAAAAAAAGTTTACAGCCTTCGGAAGAAGAGGCAGAGAACTCAGGAGGACTACAAGGATGTTGTGAGGCTATGCAGGGGAAAAATTAGAAAGGCCAAAGCCCAACTAGAACTTGTTTTGGCTACAGGCAATAAAAAATGTTTCTATAAATACATTATCAGCAAAAGGAGGGCTAAGGAGAATCTCCATCCTTCACCGGATGCAGGGGGAAACATAGTCACAGAGGATGAGAATAAGGCTGAGGTACTTAATGCCTTCTTTACTTCAGTCTTTAATAGTAACATCAATTGTTCTTCATGTACCCAGCCCCTTGAGCTGGAAGACAGGGACAGGGAGTAGAATGAAGCCCCCAAGGTAGCAAATGTGATGCCCATCTACAAGAAGAGATGGAGGAGGACCTGGAGAACTAGAGGCCTGTCAGTCTGACCTCAGTGTCAGGGAAGGTTTTGGAGCAGATCCTCTTGAGTGCCATCACACAGCACATACAGGACAACCAGGTGATCAGTCCCAGTCAGCATGTGTTTATTAAAGGCAGATCCTGCTTGACTGACCTGATCTCCTTCTAAGACAAGGGGACCCACTTAGTGGATGAGGGAAAGGCTGTGGATGTTGTCTACCTAGACTTTAGTAAAGCCTTTGAACCCAGTTCCCACAGCATTCTCCCAGCAAAACTGGCTGCTCATGGTTTGGACAGGTGCACTCCTTGCTGGGTAAAAAACTGGCTGGATGGCTGGGCCCAAAGAATGGTGGTGGGGTTAAGTCCAGTTGGTGGCCGGTCACAAGTGGTGCTCCCCAGGGCTCAATATTGAGGCCAGTTCAGTTTAGTATCTTTGTCAGTAATCTGGATGAGGGGATAGAGTGCACCTGCAATAAGTTTGCAGACAACACCAAGCTGAGTTGGAGTGTTGATCTGCTCAAGGGTAGGGAGGCTCTGCAGAGAGAACTGGACAGGCTGGAGCGATGGGCTGAGGCCAACTGTATGAAATTCAACAAGGCCCAGTGCTGGGTCCCACACTTGGATCACAACAACCCCATGCAATGCCACATGATTTGGGAAGAGTGGCAGAAAAAGACCTGTGGGTGTTGGCGGACAGCCAGCAGAATATGAGCCAGCAGTGAGCCCAGGTGGCCAAGGCAGCCAATAGCATCCTGGCTTTTATCAGAAAGTGTGACCAGCAGGAGTAGGGGAGTGATCGTCCCCCTGTACTTGGCCCTGTTGAGGTCACACTTAAAATACCATGTTCAGTTTTGGGCCCCTCACTACAAGAAAGACATTGAAGTGCTGGTATGTCCAAAGAAGGGCAACGAAGCTGGTGAAGGGTCTAGAGCACAAGTTTTATGAGGAGCAGCTGAGGGAACTGGGGTTGTTTAGTCTGGAGGAGGCTGAGGGGAGACCTTATTGCTCTCTACAACTACCTGAGAGGAGGTTGTAGTGAGGTGGGTGTCAGTCTCTTCTCCTAAGTAACAAGAGATAGGACAAAAGGAAAAGGCCTCAAGTTGTGCCAGGGGAGGTTTAGATTGGATTTTAGGAAAAATTTCTTCACCAAAATGGTTGTCAAGCATTGGAACAGGCTGCCCAGGGAAGTGGTTGAGTCACTATCCCTGGAGATATTTAAAAGACATGTAGATGTGGCACTCAGGATCATGGTTAGTGGTGGCCTTGGCAGTGTTAAGTTTACAGTTGGACTCTATGATCTTAAAGGTCTTTCCAACCTAAATGATTCTTTGATTCTGTGATTCTAAGTTCTTTAACATGCCTTTTCTTTATAAAGACAGAACTTCCTGATTGTTGACTCTGCTTATAAAAAGTCAAACAAGGCCCAGTGATTTTTGATAAAGATTTTGAAACAAAATTACATACAGATTTCAAAAGGGGAACTCAGTGCACCTGAATAAGAAAACCATTTTTGGGAAGGAGGAAGAAGACAAAGATGAAAATGATGCCTTCACTGGCCCAGCAAATCTGAGGGATTTGTACATTCAACCAAGGAAACAAACCAAACCTTGCCAGCCAATACCATACTGAGAAGGGCTATCTTTTCACTAGATTAAAATAATTTTGCAGATGCTGCATTAAATGGAAGTACTTGGCCATTTACTAAAACCATGATCTAGTAAGAAAATCCATGACAAAAGGTTATTGCATTCTCAAAACACCATACCATCAACACCAGTGTCTTTAGACATAATATGAGCTCCCATCTGGCAGGTGCCATCTGGAACCCTGGGAATCATATCCAATTCTCTCACCATGTTAATAAATCCCATAGCATTTTACAAGGACTGTTCTCATTTTCATGGGGGTGGATCAATTGCAGGCTCTTTCTCTGGGACAAGTGCTTCAATTTTGCTTGATATAATTTTTATTTTTTTTTTTGGTTTAAACCATCTATCATTTATTTGAAATGAGAGCCCAGAGTGATTTCATAGAGGAGTCCCTGAAAGGGAAGTTTTCCATTTGAACTTCTAAAGAAACTGATGTTACCCAAGCTGACAGCTGTGATTGTCCCAACAGGAAAGAGCAGGAGCGAAGCTCAAAGCTTCTGCAGCTCTTTCTAGGTCCTGCTGAGATGAAGGAACTACCTCAGCCACTGCACACCCTCTCAAGTGTTGTCACAACTAAAGGCTGGGAGAACAGCCAAACACTATCAGCCAGAAACTGAACAGATACATCTGAGTCAGATAAACCCAACAGCTAGTGAGCATATTCACTCTGCAAAGCAAAGCACAGATCCCTGAGCTAGTGGAGACACAGCTTCATCAATAAACAAGGAAAAACGTGGCTCTGTTGGACCCTGAAATGTTTTGGTCCAGGAACCATACATCCATATTTCTATGGTATTGCACTTCAGCTTGTGATAAGACTGTGTAGTAACTTTTCATTTTGGAGGAGGCACCTCAGAAACAAATCTGGGCCCATCTGGCTTGGGTGCTAGTCCAAGTTTAGAGGCCTCTGTCAGCAGAGTAGATATAAGCAGCTAAATTCTAAACTTGAATAAAAAGTGGCATTTTGAGAAGAAAGTCCAAACAGAAAGAGGACACCAATGGTAAGGAAGATGCTGATGATGTTGGAGAAAGCTGTTAGAACAGAAAAGGACAATCTTTTATAGTGCAAGAGCCTAATTCAGCCAAATAAATAATAATCTGCAATTAAAGGAAAAACATAGTTCTAGTTAGATGTGAAATTATGGCAACATATATTGATTCCTGAAAGGTACTATAACCTACTGTTAAGAGACTGTCAAGCAGTTTTAAAGGGAACTGGACTGTCAATCTAGAATTCCCACAGAGAAGGTAGAATCCATTTGTGCTGAACTGATAAAGTTCACTTGCAATGGTGATGGCTTTTTTTGCAGGTACTAAGAATATTTGTTTTATTCCATTTAACAGCAACTGCTCTTTAATTAATTTGCAATTAATGCAATAATGGTGAAGAAATTAGGAGTTTTATTTTTCCTGGCAAAAAACAACCAGGCTGTGAGAGGATGCCATAACTGATCACGATTTGAATTTTGCATAACCTAATACTACCTGGAGAGAGTGTTTTCTTCAGCCAGGTAAGGATTGGTATTGGAGCAGGTACAACTGGTTTGGGGTTTTTTTGTTGTTTGGTGGGGTTTTTTTATTTTTTCATGACAGCAGCATCAACAGAGAGAGATCATGAATTGACATCCTGAAATCTATTTGTTTTGGTATAAGAAAGGACAATGACCAGAAACCTCCGCACAACTCACTAACTACAGAAGATATCTCATTTATTTAATCAGTCAATTTTAAATTAATAACATTTCTTAACTATTTTGCATATGTATGCAGCACATTCAGCATAACTTTACATAACTTGTAACTTTAAAGTCTTGCATTTCATTACTATCAAAATGCAGTTTGACACAAAGTGAGGAGAAAAAAAAAAAAAGGAAACAAACACCAGTCAGCATTTCTACCATCATAATGTAAAAGATTATAAATCTAAGTAATTGTCTAACAAACTGTAAAGTTCTTTAAATGTCAATACAGTGCATTTTTATGGATAGTCAGAAGGAAGAACCAAATATAATGTAAAAGCTGTATCTAGTTGAAAAATCTATATTTTAAGAGTTACAAATTGAGGAGTCAACCTTTCAACAAAAATCTCTATGTCTACCACTTACAATAACCAATAATTTAAATCAACTGTTTAACTTTTAATGCTTCAAATCAGCAACTTCATATAAACTTGATAGCCACACTTGAAACAAAGTATAGAAACTGCTAAATTTCAGACAATAAAACACAAACTATAGAATAACAGTTTTAAGACTCTTGAAAAAGAACTCCATACTGAAGAAGCAGGCAGAAGGCAAGCTGCTTTGGAATTCCTGTTTAGCCCATGTATTTCGCAAACTACTGAGTAAAAAAGCAAGGATTTCAGAATCCTATATACTAGGTATATAAATACTCCTTTTATAGGCCCCAAAGAATTAAGCCATGAACTCTGTAAAAGACTTACACATATGACAAAAGTGGGGTAATTTGTCTAATGAACAGACAAGAGAAGCTAGCTAAGCTACCTGCTGCAAGGGAACCCCTGCACTAACAGAGATAACAGATTTTTCCTAGAGCCACAAATAGATGGCAACTGAATTCTGCCCAAACCCAGTAATAAAAAATCTTGACAAGACGAAGCGATTACACATAAAAAGGTAATTTACCATCAGTTTAGCCACTGCAGTGTCTAGCTATCTTTTACAATGACACCTGTTGATTCACAATGTAAATAGTTTTCGAAACTATGTGACAACAAATATAGTAACAATTTATGAAACAGTATCAAAAGAACATCAAGCACAGACTGAATTCCTTCATTTGCTCCTCAGCACACCATATGAGGGTTTCCAGGAATATCCATCTTTTTTCAACCTTCTAAGAAAAGACAGCTAGGCAATTTTAACTGTCTGACCTAGGACACTGACAGTAGCATATTACAGGATTTATTTTTTTAGTCAAAACTCTAAATTAAGGGGAATTCTGAAACAAGGTTGGCCATTGACATATGGAGAGGCACAACTCAGGCAAACTATGCCATGGTAGTTAAAACACAAATAAAAGAAGGTGTGTAGATTAAACCAAGTGAAAAGAGGAATGGCAACTGGAGAAAGAATGGAAAAAGGCAACTTTCCCCCTCCTGAGTTCCCACCCCTTACTTCTGCCCTCCTGAAGGCGTTCTCCAAGCAGCTCATTATAGGACTCATTTTAAAAGTTAATCTGAACTAGAAACAAAGTCTTTCATACACGATGATGTATATGAGTCGTATATGACTTAAGTATATGAAAAATATCTTCATTAAGATATTACATGGAAGTATTCTTCAGGCAGTGGCCTGAATAATCATTTTGTCAGAACCACCGCTAGTTACACTATAGCCTTGTATTAAGACCTGAAATTAAAGCAAAGATTGACACTGTCAACATGTCAAATATTTCCTAGTAGTCCTGCAGAGGCCACTTGGTCTTGTGACCAGCAGCTATACCTAGGCAGTTGATATCTGTGACTTAAACAAGTACCCAAAGCACATTCATTTTGCAGGCCCTTCCTCACTGAAAAAAACCCTATGCTTCAGCCATTGTTCACCAAAAAGATACAAAGAATCAAAGCCTAGTATTTGTCTGGTACTGTGATTACAGAGTAGCAATGGGGTAATATTAACTAATCAATCTATGCTCAAAAAAACCCTTACAGTTAAACTGAAAGCTTAACATATCAAAAGTTCAGAAATATCATACCGCTTCAAAAAAGTCACAGCCTATCAGTATAAAGGAAGAATATAAAACTATTTTATTGACCACTGTTCACCATTATTTACAATAAAGTAAACAATATACAGTCTGATAACATTCAAATTACTACAAAGTTAGTTTTCACCAGGTCTTCTTGAGACCAAGTGATCCCAAATACTAAAAAGAATAATTCTACAGGTTTAAAGGGCTAGGTTTGCGTAAAGAAGATACATGCACATCAATAGTATAGAAGACTACAAAACATCTGTGAGTTTGTTTAGACATTCATTATGATTCTGTAATAACTATGGAAGTTTATGAATGTTTTATAAAAGCTTTTACCTAATATGGAAGAAGTAGTAGTATCAAATGCTCTCTTGTGATAAATGGAACAAGTTGCAGAAAGCTTTTATTTACTTGCTGTTGATGCAAAACATACTACTTCAAAAAAATATCAAATTTGATTCTTGTTAGAATGTATGCTTCTCACATTGCTAATAAAACAAATTTCAGGTTTTAATATTCATATATATAAAAAAGCAATGCAAACAATTATTGTGCTTCATCTTCTGGGCATGAATGCCAAGTTAGTCGCTCTTCATAAAAAGCGATTACGATCTGAGGACACTTCACGTTAGCTTCTTTGGCCAGCACCAGATCTGCCTCATCAGAGTCTTTCCTGATGTAGAAGAGAGTGGAATTTAAGAAAATGCATATTCATCAATTCAATAAATTTAGCATCTCTTGATAAGTCGTAAGTTCTGAAAAGAATGTCAGCTAGAAATCAGTTTTCAGTAAACCTTCCACTACAGCTACCAAGAATTTCTATGCTAATGGCAAGGCTTCATAGCTGCATTTTCCTTTCCTTCCCACATTTTTTTCTGTTTAAAAGAAAAACGCTATTCAAAGGGAACCATTTATACAGTTACCTATTGCAGTATGTAATGAAACAAGTAAAACTGCTAATTTTGTCTTTTAAAGCATAACCAAAACTTCGAAGTGAGACTTTTAAAAATCAATAGCATCAGTCTTAAGAGGTGGCACTTACATCCAAATTGTATTTACTGTTTATGCAAGTAACATCCAAATTATATTTACTGTTTATTCAAGAACTTGCTGTATTTCATACTGCTATTTTGATACTGCCTTGGGGGTAATACACTTTCCAGCCTGATGTGCTTCACATTCCGTTTTAAAGTGTATGCTGCCTTTACAAGTCAGTTTTGTGCATACATACTCAATACCTATGTTTCTTGCCTATCATCAATTATGAAAAATTAATCAACTGCATGTGAACTAAACAAAAAAAAAAGATTATTTCTGTACATTTCCTCTGTGTTTGATTTTGCCAATTATCACTATAGAAATTCAAATAGTCACAATCAGTATTTTGCAACTCTTCTAAGTTTCACATAAAATTTTTCGAGAATTTGAAAAGGCAGAGGGAGACAGAATCTTCCAGAGCACTGATCTTCAGCAGTCCAGGCACATCACATGACAAATCATTTCTCTGGAGACCACTCAGTTTGACTCCATTCAGAAAATTACACCCTTCTCACAGGCTATCACTCATTTCATCTGATCACGGTAAGAAATCTGACCCCAGCAAATGTTAATTCAAATCTCTTGTATTCTCAGCACTGGAAAAAAATACTAGCTTTGTGCTACTTGTTCACAAGGCAAGAAGTCCTTCTGTCAACACTGTAGCTAATGAAGCTGGTCTTCACCTACCCTCCCAACAACAAAAACCTCCCCCATCACTCTCCCCTCTTACTAGCCAATAACGATAAACCTCTCCTTCATATTGTTTATTCTTCTTCTCAGCCTCAGCTTCCTCCACTAGTTGCTTCCAATTCCACTTCCCTGCATGCAGAACAGCTATGCTGTTGGTTAAATGGTTGGTTATCCAGCAGCTGGCTTCTGCTTATTGAAACACATAAAGCTGGACTTCTGCCTGCCATTGCTTCAGCAAGAACACTACTGAGACCCAGTATTTCCATATAAACATCAATTTTTCCTTATTTCATTAGAATTAACCTTTCAAATTTCTACTTCTGTAAATCTGAACCAATAGAGACTAAAGTTATTTGGAGTTTTGAAGGAAAAGGGATTAAGCACTAACTGATTATCAAAGCCTTGTTTTAGTAAGAATACAAGGTTAATAAGCAGACTACCAGCTTGTCTGTCTTAACCCTGAAATGAAGTTGTCTCATTAGCCTAAGTGCAACTGCCTGCCCTCCCTTAATATGGCCAAGAACTGTGATGTCAGACTTACCATTTCATGAGGAACATAAGCTCTCCACTGCTATCCGTAGCCCCAATTATCCGCTCAGGATCAAGACCCCTTGCAAACCCTCTTGGTTTATCAACCTATTAAGTAAGTTAGAAGATTGTTATCTAGTTTAAGATAAAATTCTGTTTTGGCATTAGAGCTAGGTATGTGCATTATGTGTATATGTGTATATCAGAACAAAAAACCATAGCCTTACATAATTACAGAAGTAATAATTACATGTAACTGTCTGAAGATTACATTAATTTTATTTTTAAATGACTGATCTTCAGGCTGAGTCAGATGCAGAGTAACAATGAAGGAATTTTACATCAATGTTTCTACCATTTATTTCTGAAAACTCAATAGATGAAACAAGTGACCTAAAAATCCTTATAGCAGATAAACAAATGAGCATGGCCAGTAAAAGCAACAAAGAGGCGAAGCAAAAATGCACTCCTAGAAGCAGGAAAAACACATCTTCTTCAGCAAAACAACAGACTTGTGTTGTCTTAAGCCAAACGTGAAACTGCACCAACTCTTCTTGGCTCACTGAGATCGCACTGGTGGTAAGGAATATCATGACTATTTCCTGCATTAGTTCCTCCAGGTTCACATATCCTTTCTGGAGACAGTGGCCACTACTGTGCCAGATGAAGACACACAACTGATTTTATACAGAAAAACTGAACTATTCTTTGTATTATTCACCAACTACTCCTTCTGATGCCTTCCAACTTTTTTGACAGTAATCACACAGCCAACAGCTGTCTTCAGTAAACCATTGACATTGCCAACCAGTTTCATTTCAAATTGCTATTTGAAAGTTTACAGAGAAAAATGTGAACTATGTTGCACATCATTATATGTGCATTATTTTGTACTTATCAGCGCTAAATTTGTTGTGGTTTTCGTTCCTTTAAATTGCAGGAGAAACCCAGACCTTTAAGAAAATGTAGGCCTTTTCAGTCACCCTTTTTAACTCCCACTCCACCATCATGTCTGGTTCTAATCTAAGTAACTGCCTGGTTCTCACATTTGGCCATCTTTCCACTCACATTATTTAAAATCATATACTAAACATGACAGCCAAAATAGAACTTCATCTTTGTTCCATTCATGAACCTTTTGCTCTAATACAAACTGACCACTTAATATCATTTCTAAATAACTCATAAGCAATCTTACTTCCAATTATTCAGTAAGCATCATGGGACAACGCAAGAACTTTTATTTATCATGTCAATCAATCACCTTTTACCCACCATTTGGATAGTCTCATTATCCACCATGCATGATTACCCTTTTCAAACCACAGTTCCAGATGCCATGTGATTTTTACAGTTTTAAACCCATGTTTGGTCTCATTCTCAAAGTCACAACAGGATTTTGGGGGTGATAGGGATGGAGAGGTACGGAAGAGACACAGGAAAAACAAAGCTTAGCACATGAACATATACTTACAGAATCACGCTTTTTCTTTGATTTACTATCATCAGATTCGCTATCTGACAAAGATTTTCTTTTGGCACCATCTGTTTTTTCTTTACCAGCTTTCTGAGAGTTTAGAAAAGCTTCGATTAGCTCTGGACAATCTAAGTTTTCTTCAGGTTCCCATGTGTTGTCAGCACTGAAACATACACACATTTATGTAAAACTAGGAAAAGAAAAAAAACAAAACTAGCCACATGGCTCACCTTAAGCAAGTTAATTTTTTTCTCATTATGTAAGGTAGGTTTCTTAAACCTAAAGATGCTTATCTTGCCATCTTTAGTATCCTTCATGTACTGCACCTGATGACTGAAAGAAGTATGCTCTGCTACTGTTGAAAAACAATATTCTTAAGCTGGAGATACAGAATAAGCAGCTCTATTAACTCCCATGATCTGTGTGGGATCATAGGAGTTCAAAGAAGCAATCCCTACCCTACCAAAACCTACCTGTCCATTTAAACTGACTCCCTTCCCTGGTTCCTCTAAAGGCTGTCCATGCAAACAAACCATATGATATGAGCACTAAGACTTATTGAGAACAGAATGTACACAACACTTACTACGAACAGCGTAGGTATGTATGTCTAAGCTTCTATGCATGAGGAATGCTCTCAAAAGTTGTCTCTGAGCACTGACATCGACTATACCTAGAACTATCTCCCTCCTTCAGTTGACTACAAGAGGGAACAAAGGTTCCACGTCCAGAGCTGAGCACTACAAATGTTCCAGTAATTGTGCATTTTGTTAACTAAAACGTTAAGACGTCTGTGAATGTTCCCTACAACAACTAAACACCTCATCAGTCATGCACAAATACTGCCACAGTTCTACTGCACAAGCAGGATGCTGCAAATTATTTTCAGTTACTAAAACATATTTTTGCAACTTCAAATCAGACCCTTGAATACTAAACACACTGTGTTTTACGAAAATGCACTTACCTGAAACTACACAAGTTTCGGGTGCTAGAATGCAGAATGTTGCAATGCAATCACTTTGAGTGGTATGCAACAACAATATAACTGTGTATGTAACTACTTATGTTCAAATGGTAGGTGCATGACCCTTTTTTCAGCTAGCAAAGCAGTCTGCCAGAAAGTATCATGGGAAGGAGAAGGAGGCACAACTATGAATCTTCTTTAACAATCAACTTTTTAAGTCTGCTGTAAGGTTTTCTTGTGCTTCCATATGTCCCAGGAAAGAGACTCAAAAGATACCTTCTGGGTATGCCTGATGAAGGCAACTATGCCACAGAATTCCTTATGCAAATTCATCTAATTTGAGAGCAGTTCAGAAAAGTGTATAATAAGCACACTATCTGCTTCAAATTCATCACTTCAGAGCTGTCTACAGTTTAAATCCCTGCAAAATCTTACTCAGAAGTAAAATTCATTCCTTCACATACATAAATAGAACAACTGTTAGTCTAGCTTACCTTGATAGATACTGACAGAAGATAAATCAAAGAACAGTGCTAAAAGAACAATTGCTAAGGGCTTGGTAAAAGTCTTGGAACATTTTATGTAGCACAAACACTAAGCTACATATCTTCCATTTTATTTCCATACTTGTCTGCCCCACTTGAATATGCATTTATGGATGTCCTTCTTTTGAGGTTCTTTAAAATGTACCCACATCATCCAATCTCCTCTCTGCATAGTTACTTCAAATAAATGGTTTCTATTTAGCATTCTATTAGAAAAAAATAATAGGTATGCCTTACTCTGTAAATCCTTTCCACTTCAAGTAGTATTCCACTTTTCCATTGACAACACGTCTGTCCAGGACTTTCTCCACAACAAATTCTTCAGGCTCTGCCTCTTCAACTTTTTTACCTTTGCCATTCTGTTTCTTTCCCATTTTGTGCTACAAAATAAATTCAGAATGACATTATTCATTCTTTTGCTTTACATAGTTAATTCACTGGCCAAACCCAACTTTGCTCAGTAAACATCAAAGAATTATGTACTTATTCACACTAAAGCCAGCTTAGACTCCTTTTATGTTAGGGCATGTGCTCGGGTAACCTGGGCAAGAGGCTAATGTTTTGGGTTTTTTCAGTTGCTTAATGAGACACCCAACATCAGTTTTTAAAAAGGTGAAATATCTTTGTCCATATACTACTCAGTGCTTCTACTCCCCTTATAAATTTAATTCTTAGTGCTACATGCTCATAAATTTATGAAGCTTCTAACAGTTAACTCTATGCCTGCAAAAAGGCAAAGGGCAAGAAACAGCGTAAGGCAGAAGTAAAGAAAAGTAATAAGGGAACTGTGAAAATGCATAAAATAGAAAAGGGATGGTACTCAAAAAAAAGGTGATTACTACCTTTTCCAAAAAAAAAAAAAAAAAAAAAAAATGTATTGCTACAATAAGCAAAATACTCAACAATAGCCCATAACTATTGAACAGGATGCATGCTAGGAGCATTCCATTACTGCAGTCCCTTATTCTTAGCCACGCACCAATGTAACTTACAGACGTCACAAAGGTGAAAAAATTTAAGACAGCTACACTTAAGTACAGCACTTAACACGTAAATTAAATTTTGCTAACTTAAAAAAACTTTATAAGTGTTTTAAGTTTACATTTGATACTTGAAATAATATTCTTTAAGTTCTCAAAATAAATATTACATCCACATCATCCTCAAGGCATTCCCAGTTTAATAAGGCACAATTAAATAGTAATAGAAGGACACATTTCAGAATTTCCTTGGTTGTAATCTTAAAAAGGTTGGAACAAGCCTATCATATTGTTGTATCACATTTCTGGAGCACTAGCAGACCAAAAGAAGTTTGCTTGCCATTTTGGACTGCACCTTATAAAGGAGATTGTTAAAGTGGCAGCCATAAACTAATGGGAGTAGTATTAGGCTCCTAAAACGTATAGTCATGCAGCACCCTAAATCAAAGTGGACAGAACTAATTCCTCACTAATGCACTTCCTATGGAACAGAAAACAGACAAGCAAAAATCACAGAGCACCTCTATTTGCTTAATAGCCTTTCTCTAGTCCTCTCTAGAATTAATGTGGGTTATGTTGAGAATACAGCAAAGTAATTTTGAAACTGTCAAAATTTTAGACTTTGTAGAATTTTGTCTTAAATGTGGTGAAAGGTAAAAAAATGTATGTTAGACACAAGAAAAACTGTCTTTTTGTAAAATGAAGATTTGAAGATGATTCTTTCTTTCCAAAGCCCTGTCTTTGTGCCCCTTATATTTCACAATTAATTGTTCCCTCCCTTCCCAAAATAGCTTTACTCTGGTTAGCAACCCATAAATTGAAGGTGCAAACAACAAAGAGGAGGAAAAGTTTCAAGTTTCTCCTTCAAATAGCAAGTTTCTGTACATGATTATATCTCATGTGACATTTGTTTTGATTTGGAAACATAGAAGAGAGATTATCTAAAGCAGAGTATGTATTTCCAATTAGATTTTAACTGCCTGCATATCCCAGGTGTATTTTGACCACAGCATTCATGTCTGAAAAGTGTCAACCAGCACACTGGCTTTTTTTGCCTCCACAGGAAAAATAATGTAAGACTGAAATTGAAAGAAAATAAAAAGATGAAGACATCCAACACTTCTATGAAGGCAGCTTCTTTCAAGGAATGAGAAGAGAAACAGGTAGAGATGAGGAAAATAAACAAGCAAAAAAAAAGGCAGCAGAGGGGGAAAAAAAAAAAAAAAAGACAACAGACTCACTATACCATAATAATAACATTATAATTACTGGTGATGAGGCAAGCAGGCTACAAGTGGGGTACATCTCCATCTGTGCTCTCCGTTGGACTAAAAGTCTTTGATTCAATGGAAGATTGTTTCCTGGTACTCTTTTCAGCTTCACTAATTCTTGTCACTTAAAGATAAATGTTTTGGATTTCTGTATCAAAGCAACACTTTTTAAAACAGATTTCTAAGACTTAAGTATCTATATAATCTTCCACAGAAGAAAACGAATGTCATGCGAGTCTGTATTTTTTTTCTTGAAGTGCAGTAAGAAATAACAAAATTGAGAGTATTTTTGTTTTAAATATTGGGAAATTTGATTAGGTCTTGTGTGCATCAGCACTCCTTTTCAAGCCTTTCCAACCTATTATAATAATACTTGATTGCAGAGCCTGCAGAAATACCGAACCATTTGTTAAAAACCTGTACATTCTGAGGTTACACAAACCAATGTAAATCTCGGCCCACAAGTGACTGTAGTACCTGACTGAAGTTAAAGGGTACTAAATGTCAACACACTAGAGCCCTGAAGCTCCCCCTTCTCTAGGGTTGTATGTTGTAAGCTCTAATGGGTATTTGACCACTGAATGCTCATCTGTGACTTGTTTCCCTTTCTGCATTCAGAAGTCACATATGACAAGATGCAGATCTGTGGATAATCACTCTTTCTTTGAGGGGCAAGATTAAAACACTGATGTGACACTGTGGTGAAGGGTTTTAACATACAAAAGGTAACAAAATCAGAATTACAGTTTCAGAGCTATGCTATCGCTTAATACATTTGGGTTTTGCATGCAAATAGATAATGAAGCAGAATTAGTTATGGTTCCCATGGGAACCATAACTGATTTTCCTGACCTGTGCAGCAAAATTCTCAACAACATCAAAAGATTAAAAATACTGCATTCACAGATTCTTTGCTCTCCCTGAAGCATCCCCTCCCCAGGCTGACTAACTCCTCTTCCTCAAATTAGGGAAAAGCAGGCAATCAATTACTAACAGGAAGTTCAGACATTGACCTTGGTGAAATCTTTTTAAATAGTTTGTTATCATATGATATAAATGCAGCACTCCACTGCACTTCTAAGCCAGGAGTTAATACAAGTTTTTAATATATCTTGATCTGAGCCAATCAGCAATCATTTCAGTAAATTCAAGAACAAGCCTTTTGGGTGCATTATAGATCAGTTGTTCTGCAATCCAAATTCTTAATTGTAGAGATGTATTTTTGCTTACTTCCCCGCCTCCAACTCAGGTGCACCTCACACTATACTTTTTCAGTTCTTTCTTTCCCAAAACTATGTAACATTATTAGCTGAATGGTAATCAGCAACCAACTGCCCTTAGAAGTCTGTACTTTAATGTCAAGCAAAGCTTTACAGGACTTGAGATCCATGAATGCATCATTAAAACGGTCCAGGAGGGGTTGGCATCTGATAATCTCTGCTCCTATGAAATTCAAAGAAACTGTTATTCGTTTAAAATAATTTCAAAAGGCATCTTAACTACGCCACATCATTTTCCAATAATGTTATTTTTCATCTGCAAAGACTGCCTTTTCTCAAGCAATTAAATCTTCCCCAAATACACCGGGATAAATTAAATGAATACGTGATTTGGATTTTATTTTTTACATATATGATGAATTACATGGTGTGCTGAAAGGAGGCTAAAAAAATCCTTAGTGTTTTCTACTGTAGGACAAAATGAAATAGTGCAGAGTCCTTTAATATTTTTTTTTCCCAACAAGTCTCTTTACAAATGGCAGATTTATTAAAGCCAAAGACAATGTCCTTTCTAGTAGCCTTACTTTCTGGATCTGAAATTTTGGTCAGAATAATGCTGGGGAGGGGAGATGTGGATGTATCTTTTTAAATGGAGATGCCAAGTTATAAGTTTGAAGAAAAATATGTTGATTAAATCCTTATATACTTTAGGTGTGCGTGAACTTACCAATGTAGTTTTATTGGAGGCCATTTTTATTGCAGACTTGCAGAGCTTTTACTAGAAAAATGCATGACAATTAAAAGGAAGTTTACATTACTCAAAGAAAGGCATCCCAATACAAGCATGGTCCTTGTTCCAACCCCCATGTATTCACTGCATATAACATTTCTAATGTGGATTAAATCCAGAACAAAAAGTAGGTTACTACTTTGTCTGGCATAACCCAGTAACGCACCATTATGCTAGCCAGGATAGACCATACTGACAAAGTGGTATATAAGGTTGAAAAAAGGTTTTTCCCAAGGCCTTCTAAGGCATAGAGATGTTTCTAGGGAAAAGGGGGAGGACCATCAGGGATGCTTATTTCCTTAAACCCAATAGAACAGGAATTCAGATTCTAGCAGTTAATCGAGATACACCTAGGTATATTAACTGCGAATCTGGTGGGGAGCAGCTACATATCTGTGGTGTCATGAGTCACCCATTATTCTTACATCATAGTAAATGCTTATAAACAGCAAATATTTATCTTAATGCAACTATAACGTTGCCTTCTGATTCTCAGGTTTGCAAGAGTTAAGGTCCTAGAGCAACGTTAACTCAGCTAAGCTGTACATACTACCTATCTAACCCACGCAAATGATGTTGAACACCATCCATCCCCTTTTCCATGTCATTTCTCGGACTGGCCACCTCCTTAGGCGTGTATTGTCCCCGCCCCACTGCAAACTATAGAACTGTTAGAATTCCCCATATGCCCGGGCAAGGCAAAAGAGAAAGTCTTTCAAGGCCAGAAAACCTCCCGGACTCGGCAATCCCGCCCAATTCTCCCCTGACACGGGAGGTGGATCTTGGCAGTCCCGTAGGCGGCGGGGTAGGTGAGGCGGGAGAAGGGCCAGGGCTAGGGCCCCCGCGCGG